TGCCCTTTGCTTCTAGTAGCCTCTTGTTCCTAGTAGTAAGGCCAGGACTTACTAGTAGCGTCCTTGCTCCTAGTAGCGATGCCCTTTAGGAACCGAAGCCCATTTTTTGTATACGGGCCGTGAGGGCCGGGCTTCGTAGTAGCCATCTTGTTTCAGGCATTTTCTCAGAGCCTGGCCCGTTGGTAGTAGCTCTATTTGGTCCATCATCTAATATCAAACACATGATGAACAATGTATATACTATACCTAAAGAACATATTTGGTGTCTGGCACCTCATGGCTTCGGGGACCAGAAATTTTTCAAGCAGCTCCTGCTGCTAGCCTTGATTCTTTGCTCAAGGCTGGAAGATGTGATTTTGGAGGCTTTGCGTGGTCAACAGGTAGCCCAAGACCACGAAGGGCAGGAGCCAGTGGGTGGGTGGGGAGGTGTTCTTCTGTGGCAGGAACAGTCATTCGCTCCAGGGTAAGTTGGGGTTTTCATGCTTGAGATGTGTATCTACAATACGCAAACAATTAGACATACATAGTAATCCCTCACTCAGGATTCCGAAAACATCGCATCTCGTCACTTGCATAGACACGAGCCTTTACCCAGTGAGCCTTTGCCCTTGGCTGCATTCTAATGAGGGAAGACCCCATTCTTTGGAGGTGTAACTCATCCCGAAGTGAAGAAAAACGCGTAGGAAGTCGCCATGCGTCCCAAGTAGGTCCTCTCCGAAAACCCACAGCTCTTGTGTTGAAGGCAAATTCACCATATGGTCCTTCCAACAGAGGTTGAAGAACCCTATAGGCTATCCCATAGGTACGCTGGTAGGGTCCTATAAGGTCACTTAACCTCTGTTGGTTTAGCCGTGCGAGATGATCCTCCAGATCCTCGTTCCCGGGCGTCTCGGGCGTCCAGTGTGCATCGTTTCCTGAATTCGATGTTCGACCTCACCCAAGAAAGGACAGGCCGTGTCTTGATCAAGGGCCTGATCAAATGGGTGAATGATGGTGAATGTGTAGGCTTGCTTGTCAAACGTGGAAGAAGCTGAAACAGATATACACATCATGAAACCACCAAATATTGAACATATATTAGATCATAGGTTTGTCTCAAAGTGAGGGAGCCCCATAGCCACAAGCATAGTCTGTCGTCATTTGGGACGAAGTCCAACCTGCACTTCCACAGTCTGTCGGCAGTGGCGTTTTCTTCTTCCTTCCCACACCCGATCCTCTCTCTCCGACCCACGTCTCCGGTCGGGCGCCCGAATGCCCCGGTCGACCGGTGTTGGCGTCCCACGTCGGTCGCGAACGTCTCGGTCGCACCGAGTTCGGTCTCCGGCGGTGAGGAGCTCCACAGCTCACTGGAAAGGCTTTTGGAGTTGGCTGTGCAGTGGAATTGCGAGAAGCACTACGCGACTGGGATCGGATCCGGCCGTTTTTACATGCGACACATGGATGGTGAATTGTGTAAGGGAAACAACCAGAAAAGGAACAGTATAGTTGATAGATGAAGCTACTTTGGTAAACTATGCCTGCTGTTTGGAACAAGCCATCAAGGCATCGAGGGTCAGCATCTCCTTGGAGCTGGCAACATCATACAGTCGCCCTGTTTTCATCTGGGTGAGCCAGGTAAGCTGCTGAATACCCTTGGTGCCATTGATTTGCATGTTATGTCAATTGAAAGGGTGACCAGGTCAGAGCTAGTAAACCCTGGGCACTGCGGAAATACATGGAATACTTTCGAACTTGAGATTTTTAGTCCAAGGGAAGATGTCGAGTCATTTTGTAGAACCCCCCAATTCTTTTTTTCACTGGTTTCATTTGGAGTCATTCGTGGGCTCACAGTAAGAGTTTGTAGGCTTAGATAGTGTTTGGTTGAACACCCCAACACCAAATTTGGAGCAGGCGACACTGTCGATGTGTTTGATGTTTTTGAGTTCACCTGCCATTTCCCAAGTCGCTCGCTGCGTGAGGTGTATGTCAGTGTCTCCCTGGAACTAACATGGTGGAATCGGAAGACCAAACAGGGGGGTTTCACTTCACTTCCAGGTTGCCAGGCAGAGTATGTCTCCCAACGAGCATCACCCAAGGTGACTATCGCGCGACGCTTGGTGGCAACGTGCGGCTTTCCCAAGGCCACTGGGGACAGAGATGGGTTTGATGGCAGACTGGACATTTCGTTGGCAAAGAGGCCAGTTCTTTTGGATGTGAACGTACCACATTCCTTTTGCCCGAAAGCTTGTTTGGTTCCCCCAGGACTCCTGAGTTCAAGACAGTGCTATTCAGGAGAAAAGATACTTACACAGTCGAATGAGGTCATCAACAAATATAGGACAGGACACTCTCCAATCCGTAATGCAACATTGCTTTGCTTAGTGCTTGCGTCTCAGTCGACTTGGAGCGTCAAAAACTGCGACGGAACCGCCTCATGTTGGGTGTTTTTGCTTGGTCCAGGCTGCTCGTTTCATCTTGCAGCATTTCTGCAACGACTGGTCCGAGAAGGAGGCGCAAGCACGGCGTGATTCGAAGGGCGGGAGGTTCTGCACGTGCAGCGACGCGATGCGGCGAGGAGGTGGCGCGCGAAGCCCGGTGTTTGTGGCCCGGGAGCCTTGGCTCCTTGAAAGACCCTAAAATGGTATATATAGCTTGGAGGCCATTGCTACCAGGGGTGGAGGCCATCGCCACTAGCAGACACCTACTAGGTTGGAGGCCATCGCCAGGTTGGAGTCCGTTGGGCGGATCGGCAGGTGGAAACCGCTCCGCTGATGCGGTGGTTGGTGGCCACCTTCATCGACTCCTTGAAGCCACTGGGAGTGGTTGGCAGGTGATGGTTTGGCGGATTGACCGAGATGTGATGGGACGGACGCCCCACCCAAACTCGGCAAAGGTGCCTGGTTTGTTTGTTTGGCAAAAGGATGAAGATGAGCCCATTCTGAACTGCTCTTGCCAGGGGCATTCGTTTTCACTCGGAGACGGGAGACGTCGTATCAGGAGACCAGACTGTAGGGCGTTTCTTCGTTTTGGTGGGGCATGGCCATGGTCTACTACGGCCGACGCTTCCGGCCGCCAACGGCCAAGTCTTCCGACGTTTACTGTATTCCTTGGGACTGAGCTTTAAGCTGTAGACACTACATGACACTACTACACATCGCATATGGTGTAGCCCCTATTTAGAAGAAGGACAGGACCCACTGACGTTCCCACACATTGGGCTTCTCCTCCGCTCAGTGACTTTGTATGGCAATAGAAACCAAACAAGAATACGGGATAATACGGGGTTACTTCATGACGTCGTGAGCTCAGTCACTGGAATGGAAGGGTTCACTCCACCATTGGCAATTTTCCATGGATCCATCTTCCTCGGAGTGCCGTGATGGGACTTTTGGTGTAAGAGAAACAAGTGTCTGATGGACATGTAGAAAAAGCTTGCATCCAGTCGGACCGGTTGATGGACAAGTTCTACATGTTTCTTGTTCCCTGAAAACCCATTTCTTCATCAATCCCCGATGTCATGACTTTTGCTGCCTCATCCTGTCCTTAGCAGTCTAGCAGGCCTAGCATGTTTGACCTTCCAAGCCACGCGCTAAAAGGATGAACACAAACACTCCGACCCTCCGCTCCGCTCCTCGATTCGACCGGACGCCGAGCAGAGCGGAACCCGCTTCGAACGAGCCGAAGACGCTGAGGCGCTTGGACCTCAATGAGTTGAGCCCCGGGAGTATCCGCTGGAACAAGGTGGGGCGACGCTGGTGCCACCGGGTGACCATGGGTGGGAACCCCTCCCATCGGGCCCGGCTGAGGATCGGAAGGTCGAAGCACTTGAAGAGTGATCGGAAGCGGGGGATGGTTTCGTTTCAAGGATTAAACTTGAAAGGAACTGTGAAAGGAGCATGAACTGATGCGAATTCGGTGGTGTTCACCATGTGTTTACACACTGCTTGAGGTGTCAGGAAGCTGGTGTTTGGAGATCCAGGAGGTATATATGAAGAGTTCATTTCGTGGACTTGTTCCTCCCATGGCCGTGCCTTAGAGCGAGGGCATGTGAGGGCCGTGCCGGACCTTGCGCTGTGCGGTGAGCACTTTTTCATCTTTTTCTTTCATGAAAACATGCCACACACACACAGACAGACCTGCAAGTGACTACTAAAGACTAATAGCTACATCCACCAGTGGCAGGCCTCTTCTTTTGACCCCCTGGTCTTTGCCTTTCCCAGGCAGAGATGCAGCTCCAAACCTTTGAGGTCTCCTCTTTGGCACACTTGTGGCTGGATCGATGCGATCTCGCTCGATCGCCGTTCGGTGGGTTCGGTGGAACTGGGTGATGGGACCGACCGGCGACCCACCGGTGTTGGTGGTGGGGCCATGTGTTTGTGGGCGGTGCGCAGAAATGGTACCCGAGCATTGGAAGAGGCAGGGGTGGGCAGGGGACAGTAAGCGGATATGCAGGGTGTGAGGCTTAGTGTAGCGGATATATATATACATTATATCATACATAAAAATATAGATTTGTTTGTTAACACAAAATCAAAGCGGATATAGAGGGGACACTGACAGTGCGCAGGATGTGAGACCCTAAGAGTGGTCTTTCTCCTGCTCACTCCGCTCCTGCCCTTGCAGTGAGCGGGCCCACAGCGGGCAGGGTGTGACGCTGTGAGACGCTTGAGCTGAGGTTTATTTGGCTAGTAGCCTGGCTGCAGCTGCTTGAGCGATCGTGGTTTCACATGGTCCAAACAAAGAGGTACGCCCAGTAGGTGGTGATCTCAACTTTTGAAAACAAAGCATGTTTGTCAAAGTCAATGCCTCCCAGAATCGGGTATAACAAATTTGGCTGCGTGGTTGGTAGGTACTGATACCATTTCAAGGGACTCTTCAACTCCGTTTCTGAAACAGCACCATCCGATCCCTTGCCCGACTGCAGGTGTTTTCAAGTGGGATCCACAGACTTAGCTTAAGCCCCAGTTGACTTGGAAGGAACTGCAGTTGGACGAAGGGCTTGAAAAAGCTCTCATCACTTCTATGGTGGGTGAAAGACCAGTTGTACCCACGTAGAGCATCAATATGTCAGTATATTAATGTTATATAATTTGCCTTGCTTGTGGCGCCAACACGTTACATCAATTTGCTTCTGGTGCCTGTGGTGAGTTTGTATGTTCGCAACCCGTGTTTTGGATGCGAGGAGACTCTGTGCAAAAAGGGAGTGGGCCCCCAGAGGTTTTCGTCATAGAAAAAACACCCGAAAACTGAGAATGGACCCGGGTCGAATGGGACCTGGATGAGTGTTTCTTCCTCTACAAACCGACGTGGTTTCGGGGTCCATGGGATCCTTTTCCACGGGACGTCGTGTCTTTTTGACCGGCCAAAGATGGCCAAAGATGGCCTCTCCTGGACCCTCAATGGGTGCACAATGGGATACAAGGGGTGCAGAAATCTATACATTGACCAGCATCTTACAAGCATAAGAGATTTGATGATCCGATCCCAGTTTTTCCAGGGACACGTCTACGCATCTGTATGCTTGGGAAGATGTAGCACCGGCACCTGTCGATCGCAACCCTTGCGGGGGCTTCAGAACAGCCCGTGAGGTCGAAAATATGGCGCCGGAATCCGTGACGGACGTCTTGTTCCTTGGGCTGTTCGTTCGTGGGCTTGGGTGGGCAGAGTGTCTTTTTAGACCACCGAGTTGGAGTGATGGTCGATGTGTGTGCCTGCAGCCTAGGTGTCCAGAAATGCTAGCTGGCTGTTTGCCGATCGCAGAAACCAGGTTCCAGAATCGAATGGACACGCATCGGCCACCCTTATTTGAGTGACAACTTGCCCAATTAGGAAGCTGCCAGTGGAAAGCTCCTTCTCGGGATTCCCATGATTCCTATGTTTCAGAAGACCGGTCTGTCACGCTTCAGACGTGACTCGTCTGAAAAACATCGTCTCGCTTCGAGCTTCATCACGACATGCCACAACATCACATCTGCCCTCGGGCGAGATGTTGGAGACAAGATGGATGAGCAGAGCTGCTCTGCTTCTTCAGGGCACCACACAAGGACAGCTAGTGATGGTAAAGATGGAGATAAAGACAGCTGGCGATCGTTCTTGATTCCTTTGCCACACAAGAGTCGACACCCCACACAGGCTTAGCTGTCTTTATTTATTCTTCTTTATTGATGCTGACGAGGCTGACCAGGCATGTTGAACCTGCAACTACCATTTGTGTACACACGCAGGTGACTTTCATGTTGCACAAGAAGGATGAGCCGTTGAAGGTTGGCTCTCAAGGCATTCGTCAAGTTGGGGCAGGTTTCTGACCCCGAAGCTCCATTGCGCACATGCGTGAGCATGGTCGCAAGAAAAGCCCAGTTTGGAAAGGTACAGTCTTAGGAAGTAGCATGGACGGTGAAAAAAACAAAACTTTTTGCCGGGACCATTTTTTTGACATGCGCTGCAGTTTCTCACATGGCGACAGGGCGAGGCGGCGGGCTTTCCGCTTCTGGCTGTCACAATTTGGTGAGAAGTCCGCTGTCAGGACAGGGCCTGTCAAGTCTCTTCCAGAATATTGGCTCCGCATAGCAGCCCCATGGAGGTCTGCACAAAACTGAAAAGACATCAGGCCGAGTCCGCAACAAGGGCAGCAACATCCAAAAGGTGAAACGCTAGCAGGCACACGGGTGCATGCACTGCTTCAGAGCAAGTGTTTTCGACACAAGCTCAAGCTGGAAAAGGACATTTCAGCAAAGTAAGTGCTGAATATTCAAACAGCATAACAGCATAGGCGTCACTTCCATGTTAGTTCCAGGGAGTGTACCCAAACCTCCTGTGAGTGTTTGGGGGTCAAACAGAGGTGTTCGCTCCGTTTGAGAGACATCCCCTTGCCCGCAAACCCTTCTATCACACTGTACTACCATTCAAAAAACATTTTGCCATCAGCAGCACGGTCCAACGAAACCACTTGCTGAGCGCTGCTGCATGGGATTGCATTGGCTCTCAGTTCGACAGTCCTTGAGACGTTGAGATGTCTTCCATCACAAATGCGCAGCTCCAATCATTTGCGCAGCTTGGCCACCTACGACCAACCTCCCTTCGGCGACTGTTGTATACACTGAAACTGCTAGCTGGCAAAAATGGGCTAGCTGATGCTAGCTGGCTCGTGTCCACTTCATCCAAATGGTCCAACGAAATCACATTCTCCGTACCGTAATATCAGCAATCCTCCCGCATGCCACATCCCAGTTCGCACATCACCGCCGCAGCTGCGAGAAAACAGAAGGGCAGCACCCGTGGTCTTTTCGAGCGAATGAGGACTGCTTCATCTGATCGACCCCCGGTGAGGTAGAACTCCACACCGAAGGCGTATAGTGGGGACCATGCGGGTGGTGGGTTCTCCGCCGGCCCTGAGGTGGCTTTGCCTGGACTACCCCGCCCATGGCGCTTTGGCGGCCGCGTCCGTGTGTCGCCACGCAGCGGAGCTGTACCAGCTGCAGGGGAGCGGGTGGTCGGTGGCGGTGAGGGTGTGATCTACCATGTAAACAAGTTCAAGAACACCGGGCAAGCTCTTGTTCTCCCATCGCCCAGGATCGATCGCATCGTCCCGGATCGATCGCATCGTCCCGGATCGATCGCATCGCGGCGTCGGTGATGGGAGGAGCTATGGTGAGACAATGGTGGGCAATCGTCTCTTCAAGCGCGCCAATCGCTTCGAGGCGGCCCGTTTCGCCATGCCCCGTTTCCACCGCCGCGATGTAGCGGCGGCGATGTATAGTGGGCGATGGAATGCGATGGATGTGGTCGACTATCGGGTGTCTTCACAGTGCGTTTAGGAAGCTTGGAAGAGAAAAGAATCTTCCGAGCTGGAGACAAGTACATGTTCTTGACGTTTCCTTCCAAGGAACATTATTGATGCAATGAAATCATTGGAAGTGAGCGCATTTTCCACTACCAGAATTGTTTGAGGGCTGCGGAACTCCTTCATTCCTTCATGCATTTCCAACTCACTTTGCGAAGGGAGAGCTTTTGCATCAAGGACAGAGAGCGCGAGGGCCGAGTAATGAATTTGACACAAAGCAGCCGCACCCTAAAATGAGGATCGATAAGTATGGTAATGTAGTAAGTAGGCTGGCAAACAATGTAGTAAGTAGGCTGGCAAATAATAGAGCACGACCGAGACCCTACTGATCGAGTAGAAGAAAACAGGTATGTCCATGGTCAAAAAGGTAATGTGCAGGGAGACTGAGCCATATGTTTGAAGGACACGAATCATGCAAGAGGACTTCAATCCCTACCCGATATCAATTGAAAGGGATTGAATCCCTACCTTTCATGGTTGGAAAGGTATCCCGTGAACAGTCCCTTGGCTACCCCTTCCAATCCTGCCCATCCCACTGCCGAACCTCTCACTCCAAGAAACTCTCACCCCTTCCCCTCCAACGAAACACCCAACTGCCTCCAAGAACCCGTGAAGAAAAAGCAGATGCTACTCTTTAGCGCTCCCCATGGCATTCGCACCAAGTTGGCGGATATATAAAACGTACCAAACATAGACATACAATCACAGACATACAGCAAAGCAAATAGAATCGCTCATACGGTGTCGGTGTGTGGGCGTGCCCGAACACCGCTGGTCCGGTTCTTGCGCACCAGGCGATGGCCATTCGCTTGCTGGAGGGCACCTGGACCGGGAAGCGGATGGCGGGTCAGTGTGTTGTGAGGGGGTTCTTGGATGTTCTTGGTGATATGGTGGGTCAAACACCTCGAATCAAAGTGTTCCAGTGGGTGGGATTGCAGACATCAGAAGTCTGACAACCAGAGGCTGGCCAAGCATGGTAGGTCTCGGTGCTTCACCAGGTCCACTGCGCCGAAAAAGGCTGAGAAGATACAGTAATCACTGGCGCAGCTCGCTGGAAGGAGAGCAGAAAGTGGTCAGCTTCACGAAGGATCGAACCTGGTTCAAACACAAGGCTTCTTCTCAAACATCCCATGACGCGATGACGCGATGGTGATTTGTGGCCAGGTGCACCTCCCAGCTGTTTGGCCAGGAGCATCGGAGCCTGGAGAAGTTCCTTCCTGACAAAACCTGATTTTCACCGCCCAGGAGGAATCAGCTGAATCAATATCAGAGCCCACAAAGCCAGCGTTGCAAAAAAAAGCCTTCGGGCATTCGGGCATTGGGTTCGCCTCATCCAGCGTTCGTTGCGGTGAACCACCTCCGAATTCTAGACCTCCCAGAAGGGCCCGGACAGGATCCTCGATCGGCTTGATGCACACTTTGAAAGTCATGCGTCATTTATAAGATTAAAGGCTCAACCAAAGATGGACATGCGCATCAGTTTAAACTTATTTGACCGTCCATCCACGTGGTCCACGCGATTTCTTTCAGTTGGGCGATGTTCACGCCATTTTCTTCGGAACCAACCAGGGGCAGCCGGTGACCGTCCACCTCCGACCTCGGTGGAACACCGAGGATTGGATCGTGTGGATCCCTTGGAGTACGTCTTTCGACGTTCGTGGCGCTGGGGAAACCACCACCTCATCTCCTTGGCACATCACCTGGAGTGCACCTGGGCGATGTTTCGAGCCGAACACCACATCAACCGATCAACCGAACACCACATGCTCTCACCACGGTATTCTTTTTAGGCGAAGCTTCGGTGGCTGGGGGCAGGAAAACCGGGGAGCATGCCTCCAGTTTGGTTGTACATTGAAGGTTTGGTTGTACATTATAATAAAGCACTGAGAAACAAGTCGAAACTTGTCAAAATGGAAAATCACCTCGCGCAAACATGGAAGTGTGTAGTTGGCCGTTGAAGGAAAGGTCCCAACAGACAACAGAGGTCTCACTCTCAATCTATACCAAACATTTGCTGATTTTGCTGGCCTGCCCGATATTTTCTCGGGTAGCCAGCAGGAGCCAGGTGTTCTCATATTGGTCGCAGAAATTCTGCGGAAGCGGGTCTCGAGATGAGGCAGGTGAGGGGAGAATATCACCCGCTGACCATGCTGAGAACATCACTTCTCCGTCAGAGTATGTCAGAGTCACGTGGAGTGTTTGCTGCTACATCTGAATCTGGGGCAGTTGTGGATGTGGAAGAAAGACGAAAGACTCATCCAGATCCACCTCAGGTGCTTGCCGCTTCCTTTGTCAGGGATTCACATGGATTCACGAGTTCTTTTTTCTGACCAAGGATGGATGGCTTGAAAGTCCAGGTGGCAAGGTTCCGCCCCAGACACGTGATGTTCACTTGATGCAATGGTGGGAACCTGCGTCGGGAAACGGATCAATCTGGGGTGAACCGAAGCTGCCCGGGGGGGGGGAAGGCAGATTTGGGTGTGTTCCAATGTGTTCCACTGCAGTTGGTCAGAAGGGCCAGTGTTTTGACTTCAGAGATAGGCTGGGTCCTGGGTCCTGCGCCGCAGATCACTTCACTTTCCGAAGTTGTGCCCAGGCAAGGAATTTGTCTCACAGCACTTTTACAACTCAGCAGTGGATTTGTGACTCGGTACGGCCCCGGTCACGGGCGGACCAGGGACCGCAGCGTCGTTTTGCTGGGTGACTTGAGGGGTGGACGGACCACGGATTCCAAGTGAACGCGGAGAAATTCTCAGCGATGGAAGCCGTGGAACCCATTGGTACATGCAGCATGCATGCAACTGCAATCAATCCCGTGGAATGCCGTGGACTCCCGGAATCCCGTCGTTTGCTCAGAGTTTTTGTGCGATGCTGTATCTTTGAGGGTCCCCCAAGAACACCATGCCCAAACTTGAAAGAAACACATCCCTGGGACTCCTGGGACAAACTAAACAGACAAAAAGGTTGGTAAGTTTGGATTTGAGTCAGATGTGTTTTTCAAGTTTTTCCCACCTGTCCGGTGCTGGTTGTTTGATTTTATGTCAGCTGCCTTCCTCCTCCTTCTCGTCCTCCGCCTCCTCCTTTGCCTCGTCCTCAACCGCCAGCTCTGGCTGGCAGTGTTCTCTGCCGGATCTCAACCGCAAGTTCCGGATGCCAGCGTTCCCCGCTGGACCTCAACCGCGAGTTCCGCGTGGCAGTGTTTGTCGCCGGACCTCAACCGCGAGCTTCCGCTTGGCAGTGTTCCCCGCCGGACCTCAACCGCCAGCTCCCGATCACAAAGGCCAGATAGAAGGACCACAATGGCCAGCTCCAGATCGCAGTGGGTGCCGCCGGACCTCGCCAGATAGAATGTCAGAATTCATGTCAGCTAGAAGGTCGGATTATATGCCAATGTCCGCATGCACGCCCAGATAGAGTGCCAGAGTACTTGCCAAGTAGAATGCCAGCAATTTTTCCAGAGAACTCAGAGTATATGCCAGGTAGACTGTCTGTGACTGTCTGATTTTTTGGCCAGATAGAGTGCCAGGAAGTGGCAGAACAAATGTCGGAACACATGTCAGCACCCATACCGGGACTGAAGCTGTTCATAGCTGTCCCATATGTCACAGCACACATCAGACAGGAAAAATGTCAGAACATTCAGAACATACGCCAACAAAGATGTCAGAACACAGTCCAGAACGTTTCCCAGCCTTTATGATTTATGATGTGTCAGAGCACAAACCCGATTTGATGCCAGAACAAGCATCAGAGTATCATGTCAAGCCGCACAAGTCGCCTTTCAGGGTAGGGATCGCTCGAAGTAAAGTTTCAAGTTTGACTCGGATCTTTTGCGTTGCAGCTCCAAAAACATTGAGAAACTCACAGCAAGCATGGACAGCTTAATGGACAGGCTTAGGCGGTGTAAATACAGCATGTGAGCTTGCAGATTGACAAAAGAGTGTTTCCGGTGGAGTCGTAGAGCAGTAGGAACAAAGCTGCGGTAGCAGATGACCCGTATTTGGTACCTAGCGGTAGCAGACGATCAGTGCCGGGCACTTGTGTAGAAATCAAATTTAAACATATTTTGGAGACCATAAGACCATAAGCATCCATAAACCTTGAAATGTTGGTCGAAAAATTTATTCGTTTCTGGTCCTTGGACATTTTAAAAAATACAAGAATCTTACTATTTTAGTGCCTTACTAACTTACTTCCTGGAACCTTGCTGGACACTAAGTGTCCACAAAATAAAGGTCAACAGCGGGACTCAGGCGGTCGACAGGTCGTGGCGTTTCCTCAAAAGTTTGATGAAATTGAGCCAGCGCACAAGTTGGTTCGATGCAGTTGTGGACACAGTCGTTCAACCCAGTACCAACACTGGTACAAAAATAAAGGTTTATGGGTAGCATCTGGGAAACTCTGCTCATGGGCATGGGGATTGCATAAGTTTGCGCTGCCCAAGCAACCAGAAAGGAAAGAATCCGCCTCATTTGCACCTTGGTCTTGGTTGTGCACTGAAACGTACTGATACTGTTTGTATCTGACAACTGCCCCAATGTCTTCGTGGGAGGGGTAACATATACTGTATATATATATATTCACAATTATATTTAATATATGTATATAACTATATATATATATATCACAGGTGGAAAACAGGCGGATGGCCATTTACTTCTGAGATGGGCCCCAGGACAAGACCTACCACTGACATCCGGAACTCCTCAAGGTTCATATGCACCTATCTTCAAGCAGGTGCCAGATGTAGGTGCAAGATGCTGCACTTGTCCTCGCAGGGAAATCACTGAAGTAGATGCAAACATGTTTCAACATGATATCAAAGCTTCCGGAAATTTGTCCAATGAATCTCCACCAGGCCCCCTGTTTGGGGGTGTTGCAAGAATAGGCCCTGGCAGGAGGTGATTATATCGGGGTAACCATTGACCACCCCAAACGGGAGACCCCGATGGCTCGGGTGGGTCTTTGACACTCAGCCAAGCGGCGGGTCCTCGGTTCAGCGATCCGGTGCAGCTGGGGGAAACCCTGCAGCTGCAGAAGAAGCATTGGCCCTGGTTCGATGGGTTAGGAGTTCAAGGTTGAAGATGTTGAAACATATAATATATATATATATGTACCCGTAAGATACTATCATATACTGCACGTATTGTTCAATCAAAGCATCACTCACCGGAACGCTTCCTACTTTGTTGTTAAGACTCATGGTTCGAATCCCAAACACTGGTCAAAGGCGGGTGTCCATTTGGTTTTGCCCGAGAAACACTCGTTGGGGTAGAAACTCTTAAGGGACAGAACCACACCGTGGCACGACTCTTAAAGTGAGCCTCGCCGTGCGGATTGACGCGGATGAAAAACAGGGGGGGTGGGGGTGGTCCCTCTGTTCTCCTCCTCATGTTGATCTCTCCTTCGCCCGCCTTCACCAGGCTTTGGGTGACGCCCACACCCTTCGCCGTTTTCGCGTTCGACAAAGATGATCAGCGGAGACAGGCGAACAAGGCACCGACCGGGGCACCAGCGAGCTGGGGTGGTTTGGACCAGGTTAAAAGATCGATGCACGTTGAAGCAATACTAACCCATGTTTTGATGCAAGTCTTCGGGTGCTGTATGTCATGTGCATCCTTTCGCTTAAAATGAAGCAAACCTAGTGGCGCCCCATGCCACTATGAATCAAACATGATCAAACCGTAGTTCCCAATATGATCAACACAGTGTCCATATGATTCGACCACATGTTCAGACACCTGCCACAGTGGCTACTCGGCTGACATGAGCAGGCAAAAAAGCAGCCGCAGCTGTGATGTTCATTCCTAGTCTATAGTATACAAGGATCCTTTGAGAGTTTGGATGTGTGTTGCATGAAAGGTGACCTAAAGTCCCAAGGTTCCCAAGGTCAGTCTATGTTCATGAAGTTTGACCAGATCCTGGCTGGGATCTTGGAAGATGAACCTGGTGATGGGGTGCGTCCCTGTGAGTTCTTTGATATTCTTCCCTGCCGCAGCTGGTTGTGTTACTATGCCAACTTCACGGTGCCAATGAGCGCCGATTCGGTTACGCATGGTGACGCCGATTCGGTGGCTTCTTTGTTTGAGGACCAATGTGACGGGTGGAGGGTGAATCCTCACCATGGAGGATTCCAGCGGATTCCAGGTTGAAGCATCCATGAGTTTGACGAGCTGAATTGGAACCCTGTGTGAGAGGATAAACCATTTGGTCGTCTTCCAAACCTCCAACTGAGTCTTCTTGGAATGCTGAAGAGGAACACATGGTGAAACCTGGCCGACGCCAGGTGATGGAACCTTACCCAGAGACTCTTGGACATGAAGACGCATCCAGAAGCTTTCCGGTGTTATGTAGACCCAACTCCGCTGGCCCAGAAATACTCGCCGGCAGGCTGTTTGGGTGGGTTTTAACCAGCACACACGTACGATTTGCACCGCTTTTTCATACTCAACGCACAAATGTTTTAGATGCTCCATGAGCATGAAGTTCATCACCATCACAGAGACTTGGGGAGACCCGTTGGAGTCGTTCTTATATATGTTGTTGGAGCCGACGAAACTGCGCTGGGACTGACTGCTGCGAACTGCAGCACGACACATGAGGCCCGTTCAAAAGACCCAGCCTGAGGCTGAGGACGAGGTGCTGTCAGAGCACGGATGCTTCATAGAACGGAATTGATGAACAATTCATCGATCGGTGGTGCTTAGAACCGTAGAACGGTGATGTTCTTCCTTTCTCCAAGGTGAACGGTGAGGGTCATAGATTTGTGTCTTCTCCGAAGATGGGAAGTGGAACGCACCCACTTTCTAGAGGAATATCACCAAGCCCAAGTGTTCATTCAGCAAAAACTGTTTGCTAGAGTGAGTCCATGCATAGCCATGCTTGTTTGGAGACCTTTCTGGAGTCACTGGAGGATTCTGTGCAGCGTGTCGTACAGCTAGAATGAATAGGACGGTCAACAGCTGATCACTGGTTTTGTGGTTGTATTTCAGTATACAAATTTACGTTGTTTACCAAAAACACCTGTAACATGGATGCACATGTAACAAGATCCCCTTACTGAATCAAATCTGACCGCTCAAGAATGCGTTTGCTTTCGGTGACGCTTCAGACTCCTGCCCCCCGCGTTCCCCCGCGCGTGTCTGAGGATCTTCCTGCGGCTCTTCCAGCAACTCTTCAATCCGAGCAGTTCGCGGCACCAGCTGAGTTTGAGGGACTTGAGCTCCATCCCCAGGCCCAGCTCCGGATCGATCGCGTGCCTTCGTTCCGCAGAAGTGTGGCACTGGACTTGTGAGAATTGGTGCGAGACAGCAGAACTCTTGTGGGACTCCATGTCTAGGAGTTCAGTTGGATTTTTTGCGGGACGTACTGCAGATTGCAGATGTTCACATCAAGGTTCATGGGATTTTGCGTTGACAGGTCTCGAATCTATATATATTTATACTTGGACTCCTTGAATAGGACAAGATAGAGGTATTAGTATACACTGCATCCTGAAGTTGATCCTTTGTATGTTGGTATCAGGTTTATATATATATATATACATAGACATCGTCTATGCACGTCTATGCAACGCACTACTACTCTTCAGTAAGACCGGACTCTCATGGTCGTTCGCTTAACGACAGACCGACAGGGCTGCACGACCCCTCACGACCCCTCACGATCCACGGAAGAGGAAGACCGGGGAGGAGAATGACACGAAAGATACACATTGTATCATATTACCCAAACACTCCATGTATGCCATATATGCCTACATTGGGGTGGTTTGAGGGGTCAATGTAGGCATATACGGCATACATGGAGTGTCTGGGTTAGCTACGTGTCTTCGCGATGCACTTGCTCCGTTGGTAGCGATGCCCTGCTGCCTTCTAGTGTCCGAACGCGAACGCGTTGCACTTGTTACTAGTATCATACTATATCGTCAGTTGTTCTGTGATGTTTTTGTAAAAATTGATATATTGGGCGTTTTGCTGTTGCACTTTTTGGCTTACGTATCTATGATATACACAATGTCCTGTAAAGATGATTGTATATTGGATTATCAACCCACCCAATAGCAACCCAAAAAACGTTGTTTTGCGTCAACGAGAAGACACTCCGGCAGTCGCCGGAATCAAGTCGAAACATTAGATTGAAGAAAGGAACAAATCCATGTTTTATATGTCAACCAAAACGTTGCAAAATGTATTACTATGTAAAAAAAAGTGTCTCACTGGTGTCACCTGAAATCCCGGCACATTGACGGCTGAATATCCGTCAAGACTCTGCCGGCCCAATGGGAATCGGGTATCCATTGGGTGAAATTGGAGCGATGGATCATTCAGGATCTTAGGGGGTGGGAGGTACTTTTATGTATAATATTGTGATACTTATTTTACAGTAAATTTGGACGCCCATAGATGCCCAAATGTCCCTCATCCTCATATCCCCAGTCATAGGGTTTCATTTGGCTCGTGTGAATCCACAAACTGCTGTTCTCAGGAAAACGCACCAAATACAACATGCTGTTCTCCCCCCCATGACAACCGTCACTGCACCAAAAACTAGAACCAAAATGGAATGTCCTTTGGATTGGGGTTTTCAACCATTGCATCATTAACACCAAACCGCCGCGAAACAACGGTTCAACGCCGCCGCCGATCCACGCGGATCGTCAGGGTCAAGGCGCTCACGCACGGTGGTTCGAGCCACGTGGCGGCGCGAGCGGCGAGGTGGACGTGGCGCGATGCGGCGTGCGGTTTTTGGGGCTTTTGGGGCACGGCGCGAGGTGGACGTGGGGGTAACCCAGCACATGGGGCGAGGCAAATTTGCATCAGCAAGGCTTGGAGGGTCTCCAATGGAACATCGAAAGCAGATGTTGGGTTCCAGCACAATCCAAAGGAGGAGTTCCTGTGGTGATCAGTCTGTTTTGGAACATTGACCAACCCTGTGGAACTGGCCCTGCCTGTGACGTCATCGTTGTTTCGGGCCATGGATTGTGATCGATCGGGAGCTTATGTTAGCTCTTGGTGAAGGTGTTCCAGGTGTTTCTAGTCCACAAAGACGACAACATTGATGCAATGCGTTTATATCAATTTGTTGTCCTCATGAGTTTTTTAAAGGTTTAAGCACCTGTTTAAAATCTGTTTAAGGGATGTGACCTTGGACGGAACATGGGCCGGTTTCGATCCTACTCTCTGTGTCCGATCATGTCCAAACAGTCCGCACAGATGGCTCGCCCCCAACTGGGATGCCTTCTTCGTTATTCTTCTTTCTATCTGAGGATATGTTTGATGTTTCTACCAATTTCGGATTTCGACAACATGTTGGCTGTTATTTTTCGGCCCAAGGCTCTTCGTCCCATATCGACCTCATGAAACTCATGCCGTCCTGGCATGACCCCTTTGCTTCGGAAGCTTTTCAATCCGTCCATGTGGACCTTAGATAACCTCTTATGTCAGACATGGACAGCTGAATCTGGTTTTCTGTGGTTGGGAGACCTTATGATCCCAAACAGATAGAAACGGTGTGCAATGGCGATTTAGTGTGTCTATCATTTTCTATCTATTTGGAGACCACACACTGGAAAGCAATTGACAGGAGATCAGAGAGCCGAGATCCAAAGCCACCCTCCGAGAGCGAGCCGCCGGCCCAAGGAGTCACCTTTGTGCTTCTTTATTCACACTTTGTCCTCTTTTCCACCGGGTACGAGGTGCGCCTGCGCGTGCTCGGGATGAGAGGGTGAGAGGTTGGAAGATGGCTGGAAGGAGGCACTGGGAGATTGTGGGAGTCTCGTTTTTGTGTCGAGTTTCTTGCAGTCAATGGATCCAAAAGATCAAAATGGAGTCATACATAATCACTATGTCGAGGCGCAACTGAAGAAAGCACGTATTGCACGTAGATTTGGTCGGATCTGTGGATCCCAAGTGCCAAATCCTACGTGCCAAGAGTGCCAACAACCACCGTACCGGGCGGGCCCTTTCAGCCCCCGGCACGGCGGCTCAGCTGGCCTCAGCGCTGCAGGCCTGGCTGCTGAGCCTGGTGCTCTTCGTGTGGGGCATCTCGTTGAGCCTCATCGAGGCGTTGCAACTCCAAGCGAAGGGATCGATTGGTCGCCTGGATCGGTCCAGAGCGGCGACGTCAAACTCGGACGGACCCCTTGCAGGCTGCTGCTAGGCCAGGTCAGAGTTGAGACATGAGGAGTGATGGAATTCTTTGGACACTTCTCTTCTCCTGATTATAGTTCATGGACCTGCCTGGCCTGGCTCGTTGATGTGTGATTACTGGGGGCATTGAAGAGTCACTGGGCCTTCTCAAGACAAACACACGCGCAGTGGAAGATCAAGAAAGGGACAGGAAAGAGCTCCACCGGTGCCAACGCTTTGAGTTGCGAGCAGAATTTGTTGCAAGAGACTCCAACCAAAAAGCATCGCTGTCCATGACGTAGCCCCTGCCAAAGAGTGTTCCCATATGTTCCGATCATGTTTTTGCTATGGGTCCTTCACTCCAGGCGTAGGAAGCACGGCTCGGGCAGCTGCGCAGCTGTTCTTTCCCTAGGCGTTGAAGTCTCCATGACCCATGAACGTGCGTTTCTTCATGGTGGATCAAAATGACTACCCGGCGAGGCAGTCATAAGTTAGTTCTGTGGGAATGACTCGTCATCCGAGAGTTAGGACTATCTCAACATATATATATATATATACTATATCCATCTATATCCAAACAAAGGAGGTCCCAAGCCAATCCAGGGGAGACTACAAAGCAACAACCAAGAGTCGGAAAATCCGGCCAGAAGACGCTTCAATGAATACTTGGGCTGCCCAACAAAAGACTGTTTTTGACTCCGTGGGTACTCAGGTCAATACATGAATATTTGGAATGGCTTGGACGTGCTTCTGATCTTTACCTTGCTGATCGGCCTCATCCTTTGGTGCCCTCGGTTCGGGAATTGGGCCTGCCTGCCAGAGGGATGCAGAGGGATGGCACCTGCCATTTGGCCACTGACCAAGGAGACTAAGATGAGGTGTGAGACATGTGTACCGTAGGTCTCCTCCTTCAGGGGTCGTTGAGAGCAATAATCATGGTTCAAGGGTGTTTGACGCTATGTAACACTAAAGGTACTAAAGGAATGTGACTGCTCACATCGAGTGCTCAGAAAAAAAGTGAAAATAGCAGTAGCACTGTTCTATATAGGGCAGGCGACTTAAGGATTTCTTTTTGGCAAACCCAACGAAGAAGTTTTGAGCCAATGAGGTTTTCCCCGAATTCCACCACGGCTCTAGATCTTGAACCGGTCCATGGATCTGAGATCGGAGAGATCATACTGGATCCATAGGCCGGTCTATCAGAGGGGAAGAAGAAAGAACCACTTATGTACTATGACTTTGCTTTGTCAAATTGGTCAGCAATGTTATATACTAATTAATGTTTAAATGGACATTCCCGGCCAACGCACGCATAAGTTTTGGGACCGGAGTAGTGCTGGTCTGAGTAGAGCGTATGCCACATCCAATGTTGTAGATGTGGTAGCTGAGTAGATCTGCTTACTCGTGTTCGTGTCCAACAAGAGTTATCAGGGCAAGAACTGCATTCACACCCATAGGAAAACCCAACACATATTGGACAAGAAACATGCTGACACGCACCCAAGCACTCACCACCAGAAGCGCACTGAAGGCAAGAAACGCGCTCACGAGCAGAACCGCACTCAAGGGAAACAATGCACTCATGGGAAACAACGTACTCAAGAGAAGAAACGAGCGTGCCTGAAAATTTGCGCGAGCCCAACGCATCTGGACGATGCAGCAAAAACTATGTGATTGTTGGAAGAGAATGAGGACCATGTTCCGAACGGAGAAAACTGCACCATGTTCCTAGGGGATGTGGAAGACTTTGGTGCAGGAAATGTATGTGCCGCTAACACATGTGTGTACAAACAGAACGCGCTCGCGATCGCTCACGGCAAAAGAAATGTGCTGAGCAGAAAGACATGCTCACAAACACAAAGAGGCGCGTAGCATTTTCTAGTAGATGTGCTTCTTTGGGAAGATGCAATTATTCATTGGCAACTTAAAGTGGGGACGCCTTTCCAGGCTGAACCTGGGTCAATGGGCTTGAAAGCAGCTGGACACATCACGCTACCTGACAACAGCATGTGAGCTGCAAATGGACTGGGAAACAGAAATGCGAATGCATTGTTTGTCTCGAGTGGGGCTCGCGTTAGGTGGTGAATGCAAAGTAATGCATTTTCCTAAAAACTGGTCACCTTTAGAGAATGGCCAATTGTGGACTAAAATGATCTATTTTGTGAACGTTGCGGAGTTGCGAAGTGCGTTTCGCAAAACACAGCACAGCACTTCGCTCCGCCAAATTGTCGACCCAACGCTTCAAGACAAAGCACGCTGGAGCGGGCCAGTGCTTCAGTTCTGCAGAACAAGGACCCGTTTGCCTAGAAGAAGTGTTTTGTTATGTTTTGTCTATATTCTCTCAGGATTTGTTCTGTTCTCTTTGGTTTTGGACGCGTGTAAAGGCGGCCTACATTGGCGGGTTCGAACTATTGGTTTGATACGGAAGATCCGGATCTCAGCATGGATAGGTTTTCACACAGATTCAAATAGTCCATCATAGACCTCTATTTGTCATTATTTGTCTATATCTGTCTATGCAACCATGGTCGTTGCCCGCTTCCATTAGACCTGAATTACCTACCAAACAGACTTACAGCAGTAGATGATGGCCAAAAGTTTGGACGCGCTTGTGGACCATTGCGTACATCATCCGCATCACTATCGTAACCTTCCTCAGCTTCCTCACACTGCGCAGGCATGCCACATTTAGCCTTGTTTCATCGTTTTTCCCTCCATTCCTCCTCGTAATTCTCGGTGAGTCGAGCTAAACTCGGCCCCTCCGAGTTTCGCCCCCGCTGCGGTCGCCGGTTTGGACTTTCTCTCGCCGACGTGGGAGTCGTCGGTGCTTCAGGTGGTGCCTGGTCCCTTGGGCCTTGTCTGAACAGACGGTGAACTCAGTGCACGCCCTGACGCTCGGCGGACGGAGCCAGTTCAACGGAGGCGGTTCAACCGGGTCGATCACCAGTGCATTTTGAGATTCTTTTGGGGTGGGACTGCTTTGGGATCAAACAAAAAGATAGAAGTAACGCAACTGATTTTGTGTTTGAAATTGGTGTTTTTGGGATTTGGGCTGCTCAGGGTGGTTTTGCGATTGTTTTGGTATGTTCTCCGACCAACTGAGTAGCACCTGGGCGCCTGGCCAACTCAGGAACCTGCTGCCTTGCTATGTTCGACTGCTACAGATCTTTGAGCTCTCGGAATACTTCGGAACCCTGCTCTTCACGGTCTTTGGCATGGCACAGGATACGCCACTTGGCGTGCGCACACAGAGTGTTGGCGTGCGCATCCAGGCGGATGCTGTTGATCCCCCAAGTCTTTGAGATATACTAGGATATGATGACCTAACCTTCAACTGTGAGTGATTGTGAGTGAATCCATCTCAGAACATGTTGCTCAAATCCACATACTAATTTCCATAAATCCTTGTGCAACAATTGGCTGGTTTTGACTATCCTTGAGTTTTGAGGTTGAGATATCCACGAAGAAATGCACAGGTGAGGCGTAGATAGCCTGAGAGCATCTTTGACGAGCACAGGCTAGCCGGCCTGATGGGTCCCATCATGTACCACTTGAGTGCAGGATTGGGTCTGCAAAAACCATGTGAAAGAATCTAGACATAGCTGAGCAGCAGCTGAGTTCAGCTGAACAGAGTGCTGAGCAGTTGTTTCTTCGCTGAGGACACAATTCCTGGTGCTCCTGGGCATCATCTCATTGGGCTTCAGTTGCTCTTTGACGCCCATCCTATACCCCACGCACCAAGCGCGATGGAGCCAAGGTCGGCGCGCGATTTCATCGGAGGGCGACGAGCTGTCGGGCACGCGGTTGACCGCCATGATTTCGGCATGGTTTACATGCAGAACAACCGAGAAATGCACACCATGGAACCAGACAAGAAGGCATGAACTAGCATGAAATCCCGCTGGAATTCTTGTTCCCATGAAATCGTTGGGGAGCGGGTGCTTTTTTTCTTGGCAGTCCAGACGACCATGACTTAAATGGGCCGAAAACATCGAAAGAACAGGTTGGTAATGGTTAGTGTTGGAACAAGATCTATAAGTGGATTCGACCCGCGCCCTTGTTGAAGTAGGTTCTCCCTTATCAGGGCGTGTTCCCTTCGTCTGGAGAAGAACCTCCCTCTCCTTGACTTGGCGGTTCGTTTGTTGATTTTGTTTGGGAGGAAATTGGGGAGGTGCGATCGATGGTCCTTTTCTAGGATGAAATCACAATGTCCAAGACGGTTGTTGGTTAAATCAGTCAATTTGATTCAATTTGTCCATAGCCCAAAGCCGCCATAGCCCATCAAAGGCCCATTTTTGCAGGGCCAGGGTCGTGGTGTCCTCGAAATTCACTGATGTCACTTTGCCGCGAAGGTGGTCGAAATGGTCCAGAAAAGAAACTTGATCACCTTGGACACCTGCGGAAATGGGTCATCGCTAATGCGCTCAAAGAACCACTCCAAACCCACTCCAAATATTTTACCGAACCTTGCAGGGAAGTAGTTGGAACCCTTGAGGATGTGAACCGATGTTTGCGGCCAAACGAGCCGCTTCCATCGCTCCCATCAGCGTCGCAAAAACCCACAGGTGCAGAGAGCGCGTCTATACCCGCTCGAAACGCGGGTCACACAGTGGCTCTTTGGCCCCGGCCAGGCGTCACCTGGGGCTTCTGGGCCATTTTCGGCCTCTTGGAAGGATGGTGATGGTCACGTTGGGATGGGTCCAAAACTGAAGACTTGCAGCATATGACTCATGGGCAAGAATATCCATGTTGCATATGTTCACAATCCTTCTTCTGTCACAAGAAAATTTAACACACCTCATCATGAGAGGTGATCTGTTTTAGATGAAAAAGATACTCATACAATCTCGTACATTGTCATGTCAACATGTGAACCGCGGCGTAAACCGCGGCGTGTACCGTTTTCCGCTCTAGGCGATGTGAACCTGGAGGGCACGGAGGAAAACTTACCCTGGTCGTTGAAGATTTGTGTGGCTGGGCTGCATCCCAGGAGGGACAAAAGGCACAAGGGCTGAACTCCCGGAGTTTCTGGCTCATAAGTTTGAGTCATAAGTCTTACCAGTTTTAAGACGCTCTTCGTCACAAAGCCTGGGAGTTGACAAACTCGGACGCGACATGGACGCGACAAATGGTACCTCCGTGGTCCTGTAGCCTCATGGTTCAGCTGGGCCTTAGAGGGTCTTGCTGGGGATCCCTTTGCATTGGCGTTGACAAAGAATTACTTGACAACTACTCCCGGAAACCCCATTGCCGACTGGCCGTGGTACATCACCTGCGGTGTTGAATGGTGAAAACAAAAAAACACGTAAACAACATGTGTGGGAGCTCTCAGTTTACAGTAGGTCTTTTTGCGCAGAAGTCGCTGTTTCTTTTATATAAATACTGTATACTTATACTGTAATTTCATGCAAATTTAAAAGGATCAACGCATCCTTAAAAACCACTCTCAGCTGTGGTAACCTGGCTTTACATTTGGACTCATTGGACTCCAAAAACATGTGTCGTCGACTGAGGATCGCAGCATAGGTCCAAAATCTGAGCCGTGAGAGGTGTCATTGCGAAAAAAAGATTGTACTACCAAAGCATACCCAAGCTAGATCTCTTGATGTTTTGTCCCTGCACAAAATCGTGGGCGCAAGAGCAAAAGATCGTTCGGACGAGGTGGACCTCTCGCATGAATCACCGAAGACGACTCAGGTGAGTTTCTTACAGTACCTCTTGTCGCTGGCTTCCAATGTGCTGCTGGTGAACTTGCTGATTGCCATGTTGCCTCTTGGCGGACGACCAAGTCGGATGATGTCAGATGGATGAAGATGAAAGATTCCAGACCTGATCGGTCAACTTGGTATGCCAATGGATCAAAGACTGATGGGTCAAAGATCCATCTCCACCCAAAATAAGAGTGCTTCTTTCTGATACTATATTTTAATATCTGAGGCATGAGCAATGAGCAGTTCCTCGAACTGGGGGTTTCAGTATGACAAGTGAAAGGTATGACAAGTGCGTATCTCCGAATCTCCTGTTCTTTGAGGAGCAGTGGCACGTACTGGCACATCGTTTTTGTTTGAACATGGGGCATTGGATGGGTGCGTCGACCACTAGCGTCGATCCATTCCGACGTGAAGCAGCTTGAGAAACTATACCGCTGGAGACCTAAAGTCGACAATCTACTGGATAGCTTCCGGGAAGAGTCCCTGAATGACAACAGAAAAGATACACTCCCAGCATCTTCCAATATATGAACTAAGCCATACTACGCAGCACAATCGGAGGTGATTGCTCAGAGGCCATTGCGTTTGCCCAAAGGGTTCCTCCCTCCGAAAACCTTGGACATATTTAAACATAATTGACACATTTTGAAAAGACCTTTGTTTAATACACAGTGCCCTTGGACATCCTTGGACAACCTACTAATTGAACACTTTCTTCCACTGCCACGTCGGCCAAATGGTCGCCCTCGCTGCCCTCAGGAATGACACCTATGTCCGGACGCCTCAGCCGGAGCGAGATGTTCACATCTTGCCGTGTGATGTGTGATTTCGACCTCCGCCCCGAAGCTTTGCACCACTTGGCACCTGTTTGTTTGTGACCCAAACGGGTGATGACCACCCCTGGTGGGGTGTAAAGGTGTTGCACAAGGATCATAAGGTGAACATGCCAGTCCCATGGATGGAGTGTGTGGGTCCTATTGGCATAGGCCGGTCTGGGATCAATCTCTCCTGGTGAACGCTCAATAGATCCTGAGGGAATTTCACCACAAACCAGGAGCATTTGACTGGAAACCTATGGAAACCCAGTGGCGGCCGGTAATGGAGGAGTTCCTTCTTGGGGTGGACGTGACAGAGGGGGTGGCCCTTCCTCGAGGAATGGGTCTCGGGTGACCCAGTCAGAGGTTTTGGGACCGGACAGCGCTCCCTTCAAGACCACCTCTTCCGTCCTACATCTCCGCGTCGTCTACGAGGCACATCTCCGGTCACAGGAGCGAAGTAATTATCTATAGGAGTCTCCCGGTCTCCCAGCAAAAAAGAATGTTTGGTGAGTAGTCCCACCTTGAGTCGCAGCAGAAACATTAAGATAAGATCCCACATCGACCATCCATCTCCATCCCTGCCCTCACACTCCATGTATACATTGGGGTGGTTTCAGGCAGAAACCTGCAGGTGAAGCTCATGGCCCTGGCAGACTCCGTGGGGGTTCGAACCCCCACGGAGTCTGCCATATGCCCCACTACTGCAGGTGGCGAACAAGGACTCCTCGAAGCGAGAATGGGCCTTCAACCGCGTGGATGCCGTCTTAGAGTTCGCCTCCCCGGAGGCGAGGCCGTCGAGCTGAGCTGCGGACGAAAGGCGGACGAAGGCGGACGTCCAGGAGCTGCGGAAGGTTCTGAACAGCGTCCAAAAAGGCCTCAATCAACGGGTGGAAGTGGTTGTTTTGGTTGTTGGGACTAACCCGGATGTGGGAATGTCCTGTTGAATGAATGGGGAGCCAGGCTGAATTCCAAGGAGGATTTGTTGGGTGTTTTTGGGTTGATGAGGAAGCCCACCCGTTTTCGTGTTCAGGGTTTTCGACACAGCTCCACCTCCAACATCTCAGAACAAACATGGCGGTATACATGATATATATATATATATATATATTTATTTTTATTTTGCTTTCAACTTGACCCTCGACTATAATGCCCATGGATCCACCATCGCTGCTGCCAGGCTCACATCTTGCCTCCGCCCCTGGATATCCTGGTGTCACTTGCCTCAGAGGGTTGCAATCGGATCTGACAGTTTCACGACCTGACTGGCCTTGTGTAGAAGGGTGGAGTGGAGACGTCTATTTTTCTTCGCCACCTGCTTGATCTTTTCCAATGTGTTGTCCCCTTTGGACATGGATCAGGTCCACAGTGCTTGCACAACTCTCAAGTGGGGGCAAGACCAATCGTTTGTGCAACAGGTGCAACAGGGCAAGACCAGCGAAGCAACGCCGACCCCATGCGAAGCACAGCAGACCTGAGATCGGTAGCTGACCGGCACAGCAGGCCTTGACCGGTTGTCGCATGGCCTTCATCGGGACTCGTGCCTGCCCTCCCTTCGCGTTCCGCGCGGGATCCGCGGGATCCGTCACTCGGTTTCTTCGCGTGGGGGTGTGCATGGTCGACCCCATGACTTTCACAACAGTGCAAAAAGGTTCTGCAAAGTACAGTAATTCATGCAAGGTGAGTTAACAGATGATGTTCAGAGCCCAGAAGGTCTAAGCACCTGCCGGTCTGGCAGAATTGTTCGGGTAGCTGCAGGCAAGAGAAAGACATCGCCCCATCGGTATGCGTGCCTGGATACATAATTACAGCGTCCAAGGCCAAGTGCGCAGTCGGACAAATCTGAGTGACCAGTGCCAACCCCAGCCTGCTAGAGCAATTCCGTTGGCACGTGCAGAGCTGCGTGCAGCTGCAGAGATCGCAGCGATGCGACCGTGGACAGTTTTGGCGAAATCAGACGACAGCAGCTGCTGGTTTGCACGATGTGGCTCTGAAGAAAGACGCAGTGCATGTTCCTCATCGCGCGACTGGAAGCATGCTGGGCGGCTTCGCGAGAACGGCAAGGACCAAGCAGGGGCAGCTTGGTGCCACCGTCATAGAGGTGGACGTCCACTTTGAGTATGTGTTGGGTTTGTCCTATTGCCTGTAACTGTCAGTATCACACACCATATATACCATTATCACATATTATTACTACTATTTTTGAACTAGGCCTTTACTAATCATCATCATCCACTGTTACTGGTAAATAAGATAGACCATGATAGCCTCAAAGTATATACAGTAGGTATATGTAGGTATGATATGTCATTTAAGAGCAGGTTCCGTACACGGCTGAAGGTATTTGGCACATTTAGACCCCTTCACTCATTGAGCGCATCAGAGTTCATGCAGCCCTTTGGCAATTCAGCCCTGCTTCAGATTTGGGGACAGCCACACATCGTCACACATCGTCACACTGCTCAGATCGGATTTGACGCCGCCCTGATCACTATGGCGCTGTTTTTTGAACCATCTGGGGCGACGGTTTTTGGGTGCTTGACAAACGGGTTCGACCTGAGGTCCATCCGGCACTTATGTGGAGCCAAGAAGCCGGTGAGCCGAAAGGAGGGACCGCGTTGGGGCGCGGCTGCCGCGCGGCGTGGCGTTTCGGCGTGCGTTGCGTGGGATGAAGTGGGTCGAAGTGGGCTGCTGAAAGCGGGTCGGGGTCAACATCACATAAGGATTTGTTAGTGAAATTGTTTGCACCATTCTTCGGGGGGTTGAATTCATCAGTTAGCTTATTGTAATTTGGTGATGGATCAATATGGATCATGTGGCAATTCCATGCACGTCCTAGAAGGAGTGTTTCTTGTGAGGGTTGACAAGAGAGGCATCAGGTGTTAGACATCATTCACGAGAAGATGGGTCAGATATGGTCAGATTGTATCATACAGGCATCAGATTTCCATTTGAGTTCGAAACCACGATGAAGGATGATATGATGATGAAGGTGCGATCACCAGGTCGCTCCTGAAGGTTTACGTCTACGAGTATCGATATCTACGAGTATATAGAGTATTTGGATGTATTTGGTGAATCGTGTTACCTTCACCGAGCATTTGGTGCCAAGATCACGTTCAGATACGCTGAACAATTTCCATTGGAAATCGTGCAGATCGACTTTTGTGCTACAAGAAATTTGGAAGTGTGCGATCCGAACTTGCTGCTTTCCTTACGAGGGGTCCAGGAAAGCTGCACAGGAGAAGCAGGCTTGGTTTCATGGTGGATAGCAACACAGTTCGGGTGGACCAACATGATCTCAACAACCATACGTCGCCATTCATTCAATCTACGATGCAGCCCAAAGTGACCATCCAAGCCGAGGATCTTCACTTTGTCAGGTGTTGGAAAAGTCATTGCAGAAGCATAGGAGACAAAACTGGATGGGTTGTCCACTGGAAAGGGTATCACTGGAAGGGGTATCCTGTAAGGGGTGCCATAGACAAGCTGACGGAGCACGGATATCTTGACCTTCTCAGGAAATGTGATGTGCTTCACAATGGTGTAGTGGCCAGATGTGTTTCTCATGATAGTCGTTTGCATTGTGACTTTTGGGCACAGCAGACTTCAAACCAAAAGGGGCTGGCAGAAGCTGCAAATCTTGCTTGTCACAAGCTTCTTTGTACTGGCGCCCCAATGCATAGAAGTCAATGTCTTCCTGATGATCATAGATGATCTCGAAGCAGTGGACCAGAGGCTTGATTGAACTTTCAAGATCATCCTTTGGGAGAGATGCCAAGTCAGAAAGACCATGAGGAAGCTCTGGTGTGACATTGGGTGGAATCATGCGACATGTGAGCCCCTCGACAATCTCCTTCAGGTCTTCGTAGCTCAAGTCTTCGCCAGCTACAGCCATGACCAAAGATCATGATGGCACGATTGACTTAAGTGCTGAAGACTACCCAGAGCAGCTCTCTGAAGGTCTTTGAAGGATTTCAGACGAATGTAAACTTAATTTACAATCATTTTATGCAAATATTTGTTTATTTTCCTCTTGGGTTGGCCAGGGACGGACCCCCAAAAACGGTGCTTATTGAGGCCTTAGCGGTAAGGCTTGGATGAACACATATTTTTGGGCTGGCATTTCTTGCATTATTGTCCCGCCCCTGGCCAACCCAAGAGGAAAATCGCTACCAATATTGAGAAGATTGTCCAAACTCAGAGTTCGTTAATTTGAATCATAGTGCGTTACAGACAAAGAAGACAGCGCGGTGAGTATGTGTATTTCATCTTACAGGCTTCCTTGCTGCGGTCTAATTTTTAGTGACAAATACACGCTCACAGCGCTCCTCTCTCATAATTATACATATATTATCATATCCTTATGATATCTAATGATATCCATATATGATATATGATATAATACAATATGTGTGTCCTTCCCTTTTGGCCTTTTTTGCACCGACCCTGGTTCGCCCAAGCTCGAGTTTCGGCAGGATGCAGCTCACTGCTGCGTCTTGGCCAGCGTGGTGCCCTTGGGACCGCACGAGGCGGGCACGGGGCGTGTGGAGGTGGCCAGATGTACTGTACCAAGTACGCCTAGTAGATTTGGGTGCTTGACTTAGGGTCAATGTAAATATGTCAGTCCCGTGGAGTGTTTGGGTATAGAAGTATATCATATAATTATAGTTGATGCGTGTGTATTTGTAGTAATGGCCTTCGACTTGTTTAATTTCACCACGTGCCCGCCACCCGCGGGTCCGGACGTGAAGGACGACAACCGATGTCGACGGTTCCTGTCGGTTCCTTTGTCGAATGTCAAACCATGCGACAGCAACCGATAGGAGACCTTTGCTTAGCTCATGGCATTCATTTCGTAGCACGTCAGATTTCGTCTACGCGTTGATCAACGCGCTGATCTATCCCAGACATTCCATGACCGACATTGACCCCAGGTCAAGCACCCCAACTGATCAGTAAAATGTGTTGGTCCCCATGCAGTGCCAAGGTATTAGACATGTGGTCGATTGTGTTCCCATCAGCCGTCAGGTGCAGATCACCATCGACGTCAACGGGGGCGACATCCAGGCAGGGACCGGTGACATCTGAATGGAGATGCATCGCTGGGTTCGGACTGATGATTTCCTACAATTTGGATGTGTATTTTGATAAGGGGACCTCCCAACCAATGGGTAGACCGGTCTAGTTTCCTTCTTCCAGGGGGATCGAACTGGGGGTCTCCCTGCTTGAGCTACACACCCGTTTTCGGTTCCAACGAACGGCTACCAGCGGGGCTCGGCGTACCGCAGTCCTAACTCGCGCATGCGAAATGATAACGTCGAAGTGAACAATGAGTGGTTCAAAGGATGGCGTCGTTGAGATATTGTTTGCAAATATATAATTAGTGGCAGAGATTTGAGGTTTCCTAATGTTTGGTCGAATGAATAGTTCATTCGGGTCCCTGAAAGCATGTTTACCAAAGCATGTATAAAGTTTATGATGTTCAATTCAGTTGTTTTTCAAGAACATTGGATTTGGTATAACTTGGCATGGAACACTTCGTTGGGACATTTACCCTTGCAAATACTTGAACACCTTCCGTATTGAGGGCCTTTGGGTCAAGATGAAGCTTCCACTAAAGGCCCATAAGGCTTCGCCCCGTGCTGCCGAGCCAATAGTTTCCCACCAGCCATGCCCGTGTGTGCAGTTGATGGAAGAAACCCAAACAGCACGGTTAGCGGTTGGCAACCAAACAGCAAGACAACCTCCAATTGTATACAGTAATCAGAAATCAGCAGCGTATGATTTATTATGATACATAGTTAGAGAAAACATAGACACAAGATGATACGACGAGACGACAACTCCAAACTGTCTAGAAGATGTCCGCAAAACCGTCCCTAAGCGAGCAATCCAATGGATGTTAAAGTGGCGAGTCCTGTCTGGTCGAGGCAGCGGACTCTTCGCTCTTAGCCTGGGAGGCGCCGGTCGAGACTCCCGTTTTGCGGTCTTTTTAGGTCTGAAAACTGCAACGTTTGGATGGCATGTGAATAGTTTTGATTATGTTTTGTGTATGTATAGTTTGTGAGTGATTTTTTGCATGGTTCAATTGTGGTTTTTGAAGGTTGACTTTGGCTGAATCTGTTTAATACATGTTCAACTATAATTGCAGGAGGCTCACCAAAAACCTATGGACTTATGTCACACGACTTTGGCTGCTTCGATTGGTGTGTAAGAGTTTCCTCATGTTTCCTTTCAGGAGAACCCGCTCAGAGGAACATGCGGAGCGTGGGAAGTGAACCCATCAGATCACAGCAATGAAAGCTTTAGAAAGAGGTTTGTGTACCATTGTGTACCATCCTGGAGCCTTGGAAATCCTGTGGAGCCTTCAATCCTGGATATCTGGAAATCCTGTGCCACCGACCAGGAGAACTGCCCCCCAGCCAGGCCACCCGGCCAGTCCACCCAGTGGGATGGGTCAAAAAACACATCGAACGGCAGATGTTGAACACTGGTGAAATTTTCACGTTTGTGGTCTTCCTTATGATTGAGGATTTTTCCTCTCAGTTCCAACGTTTCACAGCATTCAAGACCAGCAGGCATGGTATATTTGCAGGCCTATGGAGTGATGTCGTGTCTACGGATGCTATATATACAATTTCAATGTTGGACCCATTGGCAGGGAACCCAAATGCAGAGGTCAGCAATGTGGATGTCAATCTCTGCTTTGCAGAGAATCCCAGGATCCTAGAAAATGAGACATGACCCCCCACAAGAACAGCCTTATAATGTACAATGTATAGACAGTGGTTGCTGTAATATAATAATATATATATATGTGTGTATAGACGGTATAGCATATATATAATATAAATATATATAATACAATAAAAACATCATTTAAAAACGCCCCTGCCTCTACTCGAACGAGCGAAGCAATCGACCGGGCAGACGGAGTGCGTGTCGCGAACGGAGCGCAGGACGTGTCGATGCCGCCGGACGAGGTCAACGCTGTGGAGAAGAAGTGCCACTCCGCGGCGGCTTGGACGACAGTCAAACCGGACGGTGAACCGGTCAGATGTGAAACGGGTCAGATGGGACCCTACCATTGGGAGGTGATGAAGGCGTTTCTTTGTTGCTCTTTTTGTTGAGTAAAGAAACCTGATCTTTTGATATATGTTGCTTAAACCGTTGGAGAAGTGACATGTTTGTCCTGGCGTGATGATACTTCCATGCTTGAATTGAAGGTAATGCTTATAGAGTTCGAGACCTCTCCTTCCTTTTGCCATTTGGGTCTTATGTTCAATCCAGCCATAAGTCTATCGCGCACACAGAAGAACCAAAAACACAAACAACGTCGCTACCAGGTTTATCTTCAGCCAGTTGTTTCACAACTGCACGACTGTTTTACTGCACAACTGTTTTACATCAAAAAAGAGCAGTTTCGCACTAACTAATAGTAGGACGTCCAGGTACCCAATGTCATAAACCGTATATACGTGATTATACATGTCTATTATATGTATATATACACAATGTAATGCATAATCAAAGCTGTTGGTGTTCCATCAGCAGCATGTGGCTGCATCTTCGACAAAGCATTCGTAGAGACTTTCCTGCGGCGGCTTGGCCTTATGCACTGTTGTCCATTTTTTGTTCGTTCCACAAGACAGAAGAGCTGAATCCAATGGACTCCTGCAGAAGTCAGAGCACAAGTACAGAGTGGATATTGTCGGGGGTATTATCATTTGAAAAATGCCGATCCAAGAGCAAATACTGTATATGTATAATATGAAAAGTCAAGAAAGGGTCCAATGATGGGTGGTTCTCAAACGAGAAACAAGGACCAGACAAACGAATGAGCAAAACCAAGAGACAAAACACGCGGGTCACCGTCCGACATTCGAACCAAAACTGCGAACTGACTCACGTCGGCACAATGAACGTTATTACCCCATCACCCACCCCAAAACCCCGAAGCCTTTCAATTGTATTCACCAAGTGAAGATATAAGCACAATCATAAACATGGTGTAAAAATGAAGGCCGCTAACATATAATGTATACATCTTAGTGTTTAACAAATTAATATTACATATTAGTGTTTTACCTGACAGCATGCAACATGTATAGAAAGTAGCAGAAACCGGGGCCGGTCAAGCCCCCCGCTAGCATATGCAACATAGTACAAATATATATATATATATATCTTTATATGTTTTGATATAGTTAGTTAAATTATTGTGTTGCAATATACACACACATATATATAATGCATTATAATATATAATGTATAATAAGCGTATAATATACTATACTACTATACTTAGTTGGCTCAGCACTCGCGTCGCGGCACTCGTACCTGCACGTGCTGGCACTCAGAATTTGCGCTGAAGCACTCTGTTTGTAGGGACACCCCAATGCGATTATGTTAATTGAACGCATGCATTTGGGAATGGGTTTTGGGTAGTAGAGTGCCAGAAGTAAAGCCTGAGCGCCAACACGCGCAGGGGAAACAGCTGCTTACTGAGCGAGCAGCCATGTCGGCTCTAACACCGGAACAGGTGCTGTTGTTGCGCCATGGAGGCCACTCTGTTGGGGAGGAGTGGTGCCAGGTGAAGTTTCCTGCGAGAGGCGTGAGCGAGCAACAGAGCAAGCTGGTGAAGGCATGTTTCCTGTATGTGCAGAGCGGCACCTCTAAGCCATTTTTTGGCTTGTTCGAAGTGCTCTTGGCAGAACTCCATGAGAGGCTTGACCCGCCCATTGGAACACATGTGCCTTTGGCAGAGCCACGGGAAGTGGAGCAGGGTGTGGAATGCTCTTCTTCCAGGTTTGGGTGTGATTCCTCTTCATCGTCCAGTTCCGCAACCGAAGCCCACAGGTATCGGACGACGAAGAGTGACCACCGTGCGTTGAAAGAGAAGCAGGTTTGATGGGCAACTTTGTTGGTCGAAGTTGGTATGGATCCGAAATGTGATTTGTGGGGACTTATGGGTCCAAGCTCACCCTTCTATGTCCCAAATGCGCTTTTTCAACCTCAAGAAATGCATTGGGGGCCCAAGCCATGGCTAGGTTGCGAGTGGAGTTTTCTGCCAATCCCTAGCACCAATGCATCCCAAGCAAGGAAACAAATGCATCGGGGAACGCGGCGGGGGTCAAAGCCAAACAAACATTGGAGTGTTGCGGAGCCAGCGTGCTGGCACTCAGCGTTGCGCATTTCGCGTGTTGGGACGACTAAGGTATTATAGTATATGATGTATTTATATATTAGAAAAATATGACTTAGATATACTTAGATAGTTTATAAAAGTATGCAATAGAACTATATAGTGCACAATACATGTATCAAACGAGGAATCTTTTTTTCCGTTCCGAAACCCTTGGGCCACCCCTCGGTGCAGCGCGAGCAGTGAGGTCCTGATCTACCGAAACGTGGTCCTCAGCAAACCGTTGCGCTTCACCTTTGGTGGCAAAGTCTGCGCTCTCAGGTTTCTGCAATTTCTTGGGTTTGTTAGGGCAGGGATGGGCGGGGGGCAGCGAAAAAGACAAACATCCGGATAGTTCTCACCTTTGAAGAGGGCAGAATCTCAAAGCAGATGAACTTGTTGGGCGCAGAACAGGAAGCTTCACACGGCGTCAGAAGATGTTTTGGATTATCTTAAGTAAGTGGATGTGTGTGTGTGTGTCAAGTATTGTCTTGCTTTTTTGGATGCACATGGAAGCACATGGATCTCGAACTTATGACGTTTTGTTTCCCCCACAACGACGTGGGTTCCCCAAGGGCAGCGGCTATGAGACCATTCGAGTGGACCTGGACCAGGAGCGCGCCGCGCACCGCTCCACGGGTTCGAGAGATGTTCCACCAGGGGCTTCGAATCATAGGGGAATCAAAGGTGGGAACTCCATGAAAAAACATGACAGGGATTGGATTCAAACCGTGCTTTAGAAAGAGTAACCACTTCAATATCATCATAATTACTGATCTTAGTATGATCTAAATCAAAGTACTTTCACTTTTCGAAATGATGAACAACCTCTGGTCCCAAACAGTCCCAAAAGGTTGTCTCAGGGAGTCCCGGGCCACGTGTGAGGTTTCTCGGGTGGCGCAAATATGTTGTGCGAAATAGAAGAAGTTCCATCTAGCCCGGAAAAGACACATTATATGTTCATTGATCATTTTTTTTAACATTGGCCAATGTGTTTCCAAATACCGACCCTGTGATTGGCCTGGGTTCATGTGGTCATTTGTTTGTAGTGCATTTGAAAATGACGAACATGGGGGTCACTACAGTAGGGAGTTTGTTAAATTATCCCGTTTTCTGGTCTATACTTAATACTTGGAGAAGGCCGCATACTACACACCCAAAGTCATCTATTTTATTGTTTCATGCTCACATGTGTGTAATGTCCTTTTGCAAGAGGCATAAAGTCCTTTGCCCTTAAACCCCATGTTGTTATTGCTCTACGACACCCTGCTGGGTCATTTCGTCAGCCCAGTGTACACCCAGAAACCTCCTCAGAACTCGGGTGTTCGATTCCAAGACGATCTCTTGCAACATGTTTGCAACTTGTTCCAAGAACATGGAATTCAGGCCAAGAGGTTCCAGGAATCTATGTAATGAATACATTTGACATCATATAATACAATATACAAACTGTCCCAGTTCCACTGAAAAAGCGTGTGATCCAGGACAGTTGGACTCGGCCTTTGAGCCGCATGGAGCAAAGACATATCGCCTTCCTCCAACAGGTCCATCCGCTTCGCTTGATCGCGTCACCCCGATCGCGTCAGAGCCAGCGTGTCAGGGTGCGGGCGCTGGGTGTGCGGCTACTGGCGCAGCTTTGCGGTTTGTTTTTGCTTTTGTGAAAAAGCAGAGATGAGTCTGAGGCTCGTTGTTATTGTAGAGTTTTTCCAGAGAAGCTCGGCTAAGCTGGTTAGGCTCAAATGGGACGTGTTGTCGAACATTTTTCGGTACAATCAAACACTGGGTGGACGAATTCTACCAGAACTGCTATGCTAGACTTATACTTATTTGAATGAAACCGTCGGCCACGATGATCGGATTGAATGGCGCAACCTAGAGATTCGAAGGTAATTCCGTCGTTGCCTGCGGAACTGAGGTATTGGGGTATCTCCAGTGATGACATACTATATCTACACAATACTTGTTTGGGTTATCCAGTTTACCGTACCTTTCTTGACCAAAGCATCCAAAGCAAAGATTCACCTGAAAGGTGTACTTGTTTGGCTGAGTTCAGATGTCTCCCACCATCCATCCATCCCATTTGGGGTGCGGAGCCTAGCTGGGCGGGCGCAGCCAGGAAGTCTTGATGCAAGAGGCTGGAGTCATCTTTGGAGTGCTCAGATCGTGTTTTAGGACGTGTTGGTTGTGTTATTGTTTTTTGGTGACTCTCGTGAGTGTAGAGAAAGCCAAAGGGAGATAGACCCAAAACGAGTTGCTTCGGTGTGTCCATGACCAGTTTGTACGGACATGGCGTATGGCTGTGGGAGTCTCCCCATTTTGATGCGACATACATGCAGGTGCGGCGGGCTCCCTATGACTTGTGTAGCTTAATAACTGCTATTTTGGATATGTTGGGTGATTATCGTTTTGGGTAGGGCCCATATCATTGTCCAACACCGACAGCATTATGGTTGGAGTATCATTTTGTTTTGTGGAAACTGTATCGTTTTTCATGGAAACAATGGATAGATATATAATCAATAATGGTCGCACCCTGACTAAACAACCAAATCAATAATTTGTCGGGCGCTCATCACGAAAGCTAGCAGCAGCTAGCTGGTGTTGTCCTTGCTTTAGCAAGTGAGGGGCTGGAATTCTCGAGATCGCCACATCACGTGAAAACTTCATATATAGAGGGCCCCCCCCCGCGGGTTCAACTCCCCCCTGGGACGCCTCTGGGACACCTCTTGGACACTTCTTATGGCATCCACTTTGGTTCAACTCCTCCGTGGAGGTTTTGGGATACGATGCAAGAGATTCAACAGGCTAAGGTTGGCTGTGTCATTGCTGTTCGTGTGTCTTACATGTTCACAACGTTTTACCTCTCATGAGCGAGACCTTGTGAACCATCCCTCCAACAGCCCCATGCCTATGAAAAAAGATTTGCCTCACTCCGCTTGATGTCCCACCAGTCCTTTGTCACTGGACGGCGCTGTATGCTTCGCCTCCACTGACACTGATGCATCCCTGCTAGCTTTCGTCAGCTACCCTCGGCCTCAAGTATTGCCTCTCAGAGCGCAAGAGGCCACTGCTTTTACCAGGTCCATTGTTGTACGCGTTTCTTGGGGATCTCTATATAGCTTGTGTTTGAGTGTCCAGACGCATGAGTGTCCTGCCATGAAAAAGGAACAGGAGACCTACGCCCGTAGGTCGAATGTAGGTGCTCCAGGTGTAATGGAGAGAGCCGCCGTGGGGAGGATCAGGAGCTTTAGGGTACAGGATCAAATTGTAAGGGCTTCGCCCGGGTGCCGCCGACCCCTTTTCAGGAGGAGTGTAGCATGTGTAACTGAAGGCGTTTGTGTAGTTCCGGTGGTAGCCCGTCTGTGGAAAGAAGATGGGCGTTCTAGCCTTAGGAGGCTGAAGCTAGGGAGTGCAAGTACTATGCACGGTCGTGGTGGGCTGGGGTGCTGCAGGGGCAGTGGTGTTGACATGACTTGATGAATTTGGAATTTGTGGATTCCAATGGCCATCTGGCCAACAAAGGACAACGCACGCGGATCGGCGACCGTTTGTGAGGGCCTTGCCTGGCAGCTCAGAGCTGACCAGGTGAGGCTTGCGGTGATGCAGCCCAGGTGCTGACATCACTGCTTCTTACGAACGGTCGCTGGTCTGTGGGCGTGGTCCGGTGTTGGCACGGTGGCAGTTAGAAGCCCTCAAGTCCACCGCGGACGAGCGATGAAAAGCTAACGTACGGGCAAAATGCCTAGCTGCGTTGCAGGTTTGCGGCCAAAGGCGCCGAGGAGGGCTTGAGGGGGGCCGTTGCCTTCGGAAGCCTAGAAAAGAAGAGGTTGGCCTCGGCTGCTAGCACCGCACGCGGCAGCCCAGGCCATGCCTAGGCTGCGTGGCTTCGGACAGGCTAGCTGTGGCCTGCGCTAAAGGAGAGGGGCTTGAGGGGTTTGCCGTTGCCTTCGGAAGCCTAGAAAAGAAGAGGCTGGCCTTGGCTGCTAGCACCGTACGTGGCAGCCCAGGCCATGCCTAGGTTGCGTGGCTTCGGACAGGCTAGCTGTGGCCTGCGCTAAAGCCCACAAAGGTGGAGATGCCAATGCCAAGGTTGCACCCTGCGAGGCGCCGAGAGGGGCTTGAGGGGTTTGAGGGGGGCCGTTGCCTTCGGAAGCCTAGAAAAGAAGAGGCTGGCCTTGGCTGCTAGCACCGTACGTGGCAGCCCAGGCCATGCCTATAGGCTGCGTGGCTTCGGACAGGCTAGCTGTGGCCTGCGCTAAAGCCCACAAAGGTGGAGATGCCAATGCCAAGGTTGCACCCTGCGAGGCGCCGAGAGGGGTTTGGGGTTTGAGGGGGGCCGTTGCCTTCGGAAGCCTAGAAAAGAAGAGGCTGGCCTTGGCTGCTAGCACCGTACGTGGCAGCCCAGGCCATGCCTAGGCTGCGTGGCTTCGGACAGGCTAGCTGTGGCCTGTGCTAAAGCCCACAAAGGTGGAGATGCCAATGCCAAGGTTGCACTCTGCGGTGTCCCAGGCGCCTCCCGCCTAGGCTGCGGCTAGGCTGGGGTCGGCGGATTAGGACATTAGGACAGCCTTAGACCATGATAGCTGACGTTTTTTCAGTGGTAGATGGGTACACTTGATTTATGCAAAACCATGCACACTGGTGCTCACCCAAGTCCTGGTGGTGTTTGTTTTCTTGAGTGAAAGCCTACCCTCCCTCCAACAAAACCATTGGAAGTGGAACAAAAACGTGGAAAACACGCCGTGGTTTCTCAAGGAATTGGCTCGTCCAAAGGTTGATTTGGCCGTCAGCCATGCGACTGAATGAGAGATGGACGACTGAATCAGACCCGATGTCATTCTTTGTCCTTCGTTGTTTTTCATCCAATGTCATCCAAGCCAGAAGCTTAGAAGCTTGTGACCATGCACCCAAACTCATTTTAGTAGCGTCCGATCGCTCCGAGTAGCGTCCGATCGCTCCTTAAACGTCATGAAACTGGAGGAATCGATTCGAACCCTGAAACCCATTGGTGCAGCATCTCCAGGCCGACCTGGAACCGGTGGAACAGCGCAACGAGGCGGTGGTCGGTGGCCCTGGCCGGTCCGACGGCGGAGATTGGAACCTTGGAACCTAAACACACCGAAGCAACGGTTCCATCTTGAGGATGATTCCTTTTGGATGTGAATGGCACCGGATGTGGAGCGGTTTTGATATGCCCAGGTGGCGAACCAAGCGAACATGGCACAAAAGGACCACACTTGCTGGGCTCCCTGTTTGCTCACTGTTGGCACTCGTGAGCATCCTGCATTATTCCTTATGGGCGCTCGTTGTTGGCCCTCGTTTCAAACCTTTAACTCCAAGTTAGCTGGCAGATAGACAAGACCAATTCTCAGTTTTTCGTTGTTTTCGCTGTTTGTTTCTTGCTCTCAGCATCAAACACTGCAGGCAGTTGACCCAGCAACTACGGCTGTCCGTACTTGCTCAATGTGTTTTTTCCTAGCGCCACATGTTAGCATACATCATTGAAAGACAAGTTCAACTTGCTCAGGAATCAGTTGCCTCGTTTACAATGTTTACAGATCTTCCATCCTTTTGGTTCAGAAAGACCGAGCACTGGTCTTTGGCTGAACTCTGTTTGCCCTTTGAGTACTCCTACCATGAGCCTTTGCTTGTAGCTTTCAACCTTGTGTGAGTGAACCTTTTCTTCTACCGGGTGCCCCAGTGATGCGTCAAATGATGCAAAACAGTACTGTTTCGTTCG